TGCCATAAACAAGTTGAGCCGGTGTACATCCTAAATATTCTTTGATAGTAGATCGGATACCAAGTAAAATTAAAGGTAAGTATTCACTCCACTTAGATGTATCATTTTGCGCCATCAGGGAGCTTTTCAGTTGTTTGTGGAATCTTTCCACTAGACCATTCGCTGCCGGATGATAGGCTGTCGTGGAGATATGTTTCACTCCCAGGAGTCTCGTCAGTTCGCGAAAGAGTGTCGATTGGAATTGAGGACCGCGGTCGGATGTAATAGTAGTTGGTACACCGTAGTTTGACACCCAACGGTCGAGAAAAACCAAAGCAACGTTTTCAGCAGATATGCCGTTTAAGGGGCATGCAATAGCCCAACGAGTAAATCTATCAATCGCTGTCAGGATATGTGTATATCCTCTTGATGTTGGCAATGGTCCAACGATATCTATATGGATGTGCTGAAATCTCCTGTCCGGTAAATCAAACGTTTTGGGCGTTGTGATGGTGTGGCGGTGTACTTTGGAGCGTTGGCATTGGAGACATTCTCGTGCCCATCTCCGAATGTCAGAGTTCATTTTAGGCCACACGAAACGTTCGCTGATGAGTCTGACGGTGGCACGTACTCCAGGGTGAGAGAGTGAATGTAAGTGGTCGAATAAAGCTTTTCGGCATTGGAGAGGAACAAACGGGCGATTAGTGCCGGTAGATACATCACAAACTATAGTGGCATCTGACAAGAGAATAGGTACGTCCCTGAGCTGTGAGGAAGAGTTTCCATGACAATTTCGATGTTGTGCGTCGTCTCTTTGTAACTGAGCCATGCGGTCAAGACTGACGTCTACTGAAGTTTCAAGCTGGTGTATATCACATCTTGAAAGAGAATCAGCTACCACGTTTGCGTCCCCTTTGATTTACTGTATGTCAGTTGAAAATTGGGAGATATAGTCTAACTGTCTGGCTTCTCTTGGGGAGTGTTTATCCAGCGAAGTGGTGAAAGCATAGCACAGAGGTTTGTAGTCAGTAAAAATAGTGAAATGCCGACCCTGTAGTAAGTAACTGAAGTGTTTGACTGCTAGGTATATAGTCAACAATTCTCTCCCAAAAGTACTGTAACGTGTCTGAGCCGGTTCTAACCTCTTCGAAAAGAAAGCTAGTGGGGTAACGTCCCCATTAATCTTCTGCTGTAACACCGCGCCCACAGCTACTTGGGAGGCATCTGTGCACAGGATAAGGGATGCTTCGGGGTTGATGTGAGACAACATAGCGACTTTGGATAAAGCGTCTTTAGCGTTGCAGAAAGATTCGTGTGCTTGCTCTGACCATTGAAATTTTTTAGGATCACTTTTAAGGAGATCGGTTAAAGGTTGGACGATAGAGGCACACGAAGGAATAAAACGTCGATAGAAATTAAACATCCCCAAAAATTGTCGGACTTTCTTCAAAGAGTCTGGTTGGGGGAAGTTTTTGATTGTATCTATCTTTTCCTCAGTAGGCCTGATTCCCTTGACAGTTATGTAGTGTCCCAGAAATTGAGTAGAAGAGGCACCGAGAATGCACTTCTTAGGATTTATAGCGACACCATACTGTTCGAAACGCTGAAACAAAGTGCTAAGATGATTCTTATGTTCCTCTTCCGACTTGCTAGCAATTAGTACGTCGTCGATATAAACGAACACAAAGTCAAGACCCCGCGTGACTTGGTCCATGAAGCGCTGAAAAGTTTGTGCAGCGTTTTTCAGCCCCAAAGGCATTCGTAAGAATTCAAACAAGACAAAAAGTGTTATAATAGCTGTCTTCTCGATGTCCTCAGGGGCGACTGGTATCTGGTGACAAGCTCTGACTAAATCCGCTTTGGAGAAAATAGTTTTACCTTGTTAGAGAGAAATTATGCAAGTGCGGAATGGGATAACTATCTGGGACAGTGGCGTTGTTCAAACGTCGGTAATCCCCACACGGTCGCCAATCATGCTCAGCTTTTGGTACCATATGTAATGGTGAGAACCAGGGGCTGTTGGATGGCCGGATGATGCCCAATCGCATCATGTGTTCGAATTCAGCTTTGGCTGCTGCTAACTTGTCGGGTGGTAGTCGACGAGGACGTGCTCTGACGGGTTGACCAGTTGTGACAATTTTATGCGTGACGGAATGAGGAACATCTTCGATATTATAAGATGGCTTTAAAAGTTTTGGGAAACGATGCAGTAATGCAGAAAACATGCAGTCATCTGGCTTTTCGATGCATATGTTATAAACAGAGTAGTTTGGGATGATTCCGTGGACTTGAAGCTGGGTGCGGTTATCAACTAGCTTTTTCTTGTTGACATCAACCAGCAGATTAAAATAGCTTAAAAAATCGGCACCCGGCATGGCATGACTAACGTCAGCTACTATGAATATCCATGTAAATCGACGACGTAAACCAAGATCCAAAGTAAATGATTGTTCACCGTAAGTCCGTATGCTAGTTTGGTTAGCTGCTCGAAGTGAAATTTTTGCAGCTGTGCTAGAAGACCGCCTGGAGAGTGAAGGAGGTATTACACTAACTTCGGCTCCTGTGTCTACCAGGAATAACGTGCCTGTGGTTTTGTCCCTCACGTAGAAAAGGCGACTTGAATGGTTGCCAGTAACAGCTGTCGCCATCACTGTCTGGCTGAGACGTTTCCCCTGAACCTGATTCTCTTCACTAAAGATGCACGGTTTGACACATCTCAGGGCATGACGTCCAAACTTCCTATGATACCAACATATTTTACTGTCCCTAGAAGACATGCGGGAACGCTGTCGGGAGAGAGATCGTCTATGTGATTGTGACCGTGCTTGTGAACTCCGCCTCTCGACTCGTCGATCAGATCTATGTGTTTCCAACTTGTCAAGCCTTGCCGCTAGTCTGCAATGGCGGCGAGTATTGGTGACGACATTATAGGTGTGAGAATACTGATACAAAGGGGAATACAAATATGAGACCACCAACAAAAAATTGCAATGAAAGTACAAAATAGCAAAAATAAGTATATAGATACGTGAAAATAATCCGTGTTCCAAAACGGGCTCACCAATTAATTTGGAGTGGACTTATGTTAGAGTTCACTAGTATTACAAAATATGAGAAATAAAATTCAAGTCAATGGAATGTTAAGTAACAGTATATTACCAAAAATGCAACGACACGTTATATCAACAAAAGGGTTACTTGGAAATAAAGTTTAAGTCCTCTGCTACAAATTATTTATATAACCGACGGGGACGTTAGTTGTTTGGACGGAGTAGGTTGTAGCTGCTGTGTCCCGGTTGTATAGTTGTCTTCGGTTGAGCGTAGTGGACTCCTACAATAAATCCGAAAGATACAACACGGTGAGAGCTGAGCTAGTAAGCCAAAGAAACCAAGGAGAAGACGAAGTCTCCAACAGCAGAGTGTATTTTCCAATCGTACACGGGAGCCAAGGGTATTTCAACCAGAAGCGTTTTAAACAAAAAATTATGTACAATATGTCTAATTTCTACAAATAACCAAAAAGTGTACAATCACACTGTTACGCACTCCACAGGGCTCCCTCCCTAGAGGTCCGGAGAGACCATCGGAAAGTGTTAAGTAAAGCTGTGAAGTAAATAATAGTAGTAATAACAATTTTTGGATAAAAATAGGGATATATTACAACATGCATAAACGTAAGAAGTTATGTGAGTCATGTAAAGTCTGAAAGCATATACAATTAGTTCAGCAATAAAAAAATTAAAACAGAAAGTCATGTCTTTTAAATTTGCACTAACCATGAGCATAGATTTTCAATGTATAACGAAAAAAATATGGACTAAAGATCAATAGTTTCTGAAAAGGGCAATGCCTGTTTTATAGGTGAGGTACACATAAGTAAATAATAGTGACAGGAACATCAAGGTTTACAACGAAATACTAACGGTCGTGATAATCATGTCTAAACGAAAAAGATAATAATAATTTTTAATATTTTTTATTAGTCCTCAAAATGAACGTAGCGAGCCGGTTTACTGATTTGCCGACCACTACGTGTTTGATATGGAGGGATGATAAGACTTGGTGCCGGTGGAGTGGAATGTGATGTTTGATTATTTGATTGTGCAGTTGCCGGTGTAGCTTCAAAATCGTTGTCTGTGTATGCGGGTTTGATGCGATCGATGGAAACAGTCTCTCGTTTTCCATTCTTGTTCACCGTAAAGTGGTTTTCTGAACGTTTTATAACTTGAAATGGTCCCTCGTATGGAGGTTGTAATCCTTTCCTGATGGCGTCGACTCGAACAAACACGAATTTGCAAGTTTGTAGATGTTTGTTGATCTGATCTCGTCGGGGAGATTGTCGAGGTGCTGTTGGTTGAAGCTGAAGCATTTGTCTAGTTAATCGGCTGGAGAAGTCGGTGATGTTCACGTCTGTGGAATCGGCTGAGGGGACTAGCTGTCCAGGCAAGGTTAGGTTGGTGCCATAAACAAGTTGAGCCGGTGTACATCCTAAATATTCTTTGATAGTAGATCGGATACCAAGTAAAATTAAAGGTAAGTATTCACTCCACTTAGATGTATCATTTTGCGCCATCAGGGAGCTTTTCAGTTGTTTGTGGAATCTTTCCACTAGACCATTCGCTGCCGGATGATAGGCTGTCGTGGAGATATGTTTCACTCCCAGGAGTCTCGTCAGTTCGCGAAAGAGTGTCGATTGGAATTGAGGACCGCGGTCGGATGTAATAGTAGTTGGTACACCGTAGTTTGACACCCAACGGTCGAGAAAAACCAAAGCAACGTTTTCAGCAGATATGCCGTTTAAGGGGCATGCAATAGCCCAACGAGTAAATCTATCAATCGCTGTCAGGATATGTGTATATCCTCTTGATGTTGGCAATGGTCCAACGATATCTATATGGATGTGCTGAAATCTCCTGTCCGGTAAATCAAACGTTTTGGGCGTTGTGATGGTGTGGCGGTGTACTTTAGAGCGTTGGCATTGGAGACATTCTCGTGCCCATCTCCGAATGTCAGAGTTCATTTTAGGCCACACGAAACGTTCGCTGATGAGTCTGACGGTGGCACGTACTCCAGGGTGAGAGAGTGAATGTAAGTGGTCGAATAAAGCTTTTCGGCATTGGAGAGGAACAAACGGGCGATTAGTGCCGGTAGATATATCACAAACTATAGTGGCATCTGACAAGAGAATAGGTACGTCCCTGAGCTGTGAGGAAGAGTTTCCATGACAATTTCGATGTTGTGCGTCGTCTCTTTGTAACTGAGCCATGCGGTCAAGACTGACGTCTACTGAAGTTTCAAGCTGGTGTATATCACATCTTGAAAGAGAATCAGCTACCACGTTTGCGTCCCCTTTGATTTACTGTTTGTCAGTTGAAAATTGGGAGATATAGTCTAACTGTCTGGCTTCTCTTGGGGAGTGTTTATCCAGCGAAGTGGTGAAAGCATAGCACAGAGGTTTGTAGTCAGTAAAAATAGTGAAATGCCGACCCTGTAGTAAGTAACTGAAGTGTTTGACTGCTAGGTATATAGCCAACAATTCTCTCCCAAAAGTACTGTAACGTGTCTGAGCCGGTTCTAACCTCTTCGAAAAGAAAGCTAGTGGGGTAACGTCCCCATTAATCTTCTGCTGTAACACCGCGCCCACAGCTACTTGGGAGGCATCTGTGCACAGGATAAGGGATGCTTCGGGGTTGATGTGAGACAACATAGCGACTTTGGATAAAGCGTCTTTAGCGTTGCAGAAAGATTCGTGTGCTTGCTCTGACCATTGAAATTTTTTAGGATCACTTTTAAGGAGATCGGTTAAAGGTTGGACGATAGAGGCACACGAAGGAATAAAACGTCGATAGAAATTAAACATCCCCAAAAATTGTCGGACTTTCTTCAAAGAGTCTGGTTGGGGGAAGTTTTTGATTGTATCTATCTTTTCCTCAGTAGGCCTGATTCCCTTGACAGTTATGTAGTGTCCCAGAAATTGAGTAGAAGAGGCACCGAGAATGCACTTCTTAGGATTTATAGTGACACCATACTGTTCGAAACGCTGAAACAAAGTGCTAAGCTGATTCTTATGTTCCTCTTCCGACTTGCTAGCAATTAGTACGTCGTCGATATAAACGAACACAAAGTCAAGACCCCGCATGACTTGGTCCATGAAGAGCTGAAAAGTTTGTGCAGCGTTTTTCAGCCCCAAAGGCATTCGTAAGAATTCAAACAAGACAAAAAGTGTTATAATAGCTGTCTTCTCGATGTCCTCAGGGGCGACTGGTATCTGGTGACAAGCTCTGACTAAATCCGCTTTGGAGAAAATAGTTTTACCTTGTTAGAGAGAAATTATGCAAGTGCGGAATGGGATAACTATCTGGGACAGTGGCGTTGTTCAAACGTCGGTAATCCCCACACGGTCGCCAATCATGCTCAGCTTTTGGTACCATATGTAATGGTGAGAACCAGGGGCTGTTGGATGGCCGGATGATGCCCAATCGCATCATGTGTTCGAATTCAGCTTTGGCTGCTGCTAACTTGTCGGGTGGTAGTCGACGAGGACGTGCTCTGACGGGTTGACCAGTTGTGACAATTTTATGCGTGACGGAATGAGGAACATCTTCGATATTATAAGATGGCTTTAAAAGTTTTGGGAAACGATGCAGTAATGCAGAAAACATGCAGTCATCTGGCTTTTCGATGCATATGTTATAAACAGAGTAGTTTGGGATGATTCCGTGGACTTGAAGCTGGGTGCGGTTATCAACTAGCTTTTTCTTGTTGACATCAACCAGCAGATTAAAATAGCTTAAAAAATCGGCACCCGGCATGGCATGACTAACGTCAGCTACTATGAATATCCATGTAAATCGACGACGTAAACCAAGATCCAAAGTAAATGATTGTTCACCGTAAGTCCGTATGCTAGTTTGGTTAGCTGCTCGAAGTGAAATTTTTGCAGCTGTGCTAGAAGACCGCCTGGAGAGTGAAGGAGGTATTACACTAACTTCGGCTCCTGTGTCTACCAGGAATAACGTGCCTGTGGTTTTGTCCCTCACGTAGAAAAGGCGACTTGAATGGTTGCCAGTAACAGCTGTCGCCATCACTGTCTGGCTGAGACGTTTCCCCTGAACCTGATTCTCTTCACTAAAGATGCACGGTTTGACACATCTCAGGGCATGACGTCCAAACTTCCTATGATACCAACATATTTTACTGTCCCTAGAAGACATGCGGGAACGCTGTCGGGAGAGAGATCGTCTATGTGATTGTGACCGTGCTTGTGAACTCCGCCTCTCGACTCGTCGATCAGATCTATGTGTTTCCAACTTGTCAAGCCTTGCCGCTAGTCTGCAATGGCGGCGAGTATTGGTGACGACATTATAGGTGTGAGAATATTGATACAAAGGGGAATACAAATATGAGATCACCAACAAAAAATTGCAATGAAAGTACAAAATAGCAAAAATAAGTATATAGATACGTGAAAATAATCCGTGTTCCAAAACGGGCTCACCAATTAATTTGGAGTGGACTTATGTTAGAGTTCACTAGTATTACAAAATATGAGAAATAAAATTCAAGTCAATGGAATGTTAAGTAACAGTATATTACCAAAAATGCAACGACACGTTATATCAACAAAAGGGTTACTTGGAAATAAAGTTTAAGTCCTCTGCTACAAATTATTTATATAACCGACGGGGACGTTAGTTGTTTGGACGGAGTAGGTTGTAGCTGCTGTGTCCCGGTTGTATAGTTGTCTTCGGTTGAGCGTAGTGGACTCCTACAATAAATCCGAAAGATACAACACGGTGAGAGCTGAGCTAGTAAGCCAAAGAAACCAAGGAGAAGACGAAGTCTCCAACAGCAGAGTGTATTTTCCAATCGTACACGGGAGCCAAGGGTATTTCAACCAGAAGCGTTTTAAACAAAAAATTATGTACAATATGTCTAATTTCTACAAATAACCAAAAAGTGTACAATCACACTGTTACGCACTCCACAGGGCTCCCTCCCTAGAGGTCCGGAGAGACCATCGGAAAGTGTTAAGTAAAGCTGTGAAGTAAATAATAGTAGTAATAACAATTTTTGGATAAAAATAGGGATATATTACAACATGCATAAACGTAAGAAGTTATGTGAGTCATGTAAAGTCTGAAAGCATATACAATTAGTTCAGCAATAAAATAATTAAAACAGAAAGTCATGTCTTTTAAATTTGCACTAACCATGAGCATAGATTTTCAATGTATAACGAAAAAAATATGGACTAAAGATCAATAGTTTCTGAAAAGGGCAATGCCTGTTTTATAGGTGAGGTACACATAAGTAAATAATAGTGACAGGAACATCAAGGTTTACAACGAAATACTAACGGTCGTGATAATCATGTCTAAACGAAAAAGATAATAATAATTTTTAATATTTTTTATTAGTCCTCAAAATGAACGTAGCGAGCCGGTTTACTGATTTGCCGACCACTACGTGTTTGATATGGAGGGATGATAAGACTTGGTGCCGGTGGAGTGGAATGTGATGTTTGATTATTTGATTGTGCAGTTGCCGGTGTAGCTTCAAAATCGTTGTCTGTGTATGCGGGTTTGATGCGATCGATGGAAACAGTCTCTCGTTTTCCATTCTTGTTCACCGTAAAGTGGTTTTCTGAACGTTTTATAACTTGAAATGGTCCCTCGTATGGAGGTTGTAATCCTTTCCTGATGGCGTCGACTCGAACAAACACGAATTTGCAAGTTTGTAGATGTTTGTTGATCTGATCTCGTCGGGGAGATTGTCGAGGTGCTGTTGGTTGAAGCTGAAGCATTTGTCTAGTTAATCGGCTGGAGAAGTCGGTGATGTTCACGTCTGTGGAATCGGCTGAGGGGACTAGCTGTCCAGGCAAGGTTAGGTTGGTGCCATAAACAAGTTGAGCCGGTGTACATCCTAAATATTCTTTGATAGTAGATCGGATACCAAGTAAAATTAAAGGTAAGTATTCACTCCACTTAGATGTATCATTTTGCGCCATCAGGGAGCTTTTCAGTTGTTTGTGGAATCTTTCCACTAGACCATTCGCTGCCGGATGATAGGCTGTCGTGGAGATATGTTTCACTCCCAGGAGTCTCGTCAGTTCGCGAAAGAGTGTCGATTGGAATTGAGGACCGCGGTCGGATGTAATAGTAGTTGGTACACCGTAGTTTGACACCCAACGGTCGAGAAAAACCAAAGCAACGTTTTCAGCAGATATGCCGTTTAAGGGGCATGCAATAGCCCAACGAGTAAATCTATCAATCGCTGTCAGGATATGTGTATATCCTCTTGATGTTGGCAATGGTCCAACGATATCTATATGGATGTGCTGAAATCTCCTGTCCGGTAAATCAAACGTTTTGGGCGTTGTGATAGTGTGGCGGTGTACTTTAGAGCGTTGGCATTGGAGACATTCTCGTGCCCATCTCCGAATGTCAGAGTTCATTTTAGGCCACACGAAACGTTCGCTGATGAGTCTGACGGTGGCACGTACTCCAGGGTGAGAGAGTGAATGTAAGTGGTCGAATAAAGCTTTTCGGCATTGGAGAGGAACAAACGGGCGATTAGTGCCGGTAGATACATCACAAACTATAGTGGCATCTGACAAGAGAATAGGTACGTCCCTGAGCTGTGAGGAAGAGTTTCCATGACAATTTCGATGTTGTGCGTCGTCTCTTTGTAACTGAGCCATGCGGTCAAGACTGACGTCTACTGAAGTTTCAAGCTGGTGTATATCACATCTTGAAAGAGAATCAGCTACCACGTTTGCGTCCCCTTTGATTTACTGTATGTCAGTTGAAAATTGGGAGATAAAGTCTAACTGTCTGGCTTCTCTTGGGGAGTGTTTATCCAGCGAAGTGGTGAAAGCATAGCACAGAGGTTTGTAGCCAGTAAAAATAGTGAAATGCCGACCCTGTAGTAAGTAACTGAAGTGTTTGACTGCTAGGTATATAGCCAACAATTCTCTCCCAAAAGTACTGTAACGTGTCTGAGCCGGTTCTAACCTCGTCGAAAAGAAAGCTAGTGGGGTAACGTCCCCATTAATCTTCTGCTGTAACACCGCGCCCACAGCTACTTGGGAGGCATCTGTGCACAGGATAAGGGATGCTTCGGGGTTGATGTGAGACAACATAGCGACTTTGGATAAAGCGTCTTTAGCGTTGCAGAAAGATTCGTGTGCTTGCTCTGACCATTGAAATTTTTTAGGATCACTTTTAAGGAGATCGGTTAAAGGTTGGACGATAGAGGCACACG